CTCAACCATACCCAACAAGAACCATGCCGTCCCCGGCAATTAAATATTGGCAGTCGATCAACCAGACGAAAATTATCAACGAACACCGAAACTCTCGCAAACGTTTTACTCTGCTGAAAAACTGAACAAACATTTAGCAGCATGAAATAGCCTCAATAATCAAGTTCAAAAAAAAAAGTGAAGCAACGGCTCGAACATGGCATACCGGTCAGAAAGTCACCGTGAAAAACTCGGGCCAACGAAGGAGGATAATGGATCAGCTCACGGAACAGTTAGATAGCCGTCACCCAGGGCCGCTCTTCCAAACATCAGCTTGATAGAGGCCACTGCATCTGTGGTTGTATGCAATTCCGAGCAGGTCTGTGTTGTGCACTTCAAGTATCGGGAATAAAGGGACGGGATGAAAGACAAACCAACTGGCATAGTCAGTTAAGCAAACGGCATTAACATGTGAGGAATAGGCCAAGCTAAAAAATCTGCCAAATTGGACCTGGAATATGCAGAACAAAGAGTACCTCCTTCCTCGCTACAGGTGTTTGTACAACCCACGCCTACAGGTTACTGGGATCAGGAAAAGCGATCAGGACACTACCACTGCAGCTTTCAAAGGACAACTTACAGATAAGCTATGCAATCAGAAAAATCGCATAAAAATGGCGAAATCAGCATAGCTGATGTAAATACAGTACCGAGCTCACGAATACTGTAGTAGTTGAAACTCAAATTCAGAATACTTATCGAAACAAGCATTTCGATCTTCGTTAATACTGTCACTAAATTAATCATCCCACAAAAAAAGCCCTGTTGCCAAGCAGCTGCAGCACTGCGCTTCTCACCGGATCTACCTGTTCTTCCGATTGCCCAATTTTCTTCATACTGTTACCTGAAATTCAATACATCAACTTTCAACATTCATTAGTTTTCAGTTTCACGGGCAACATAGGTACCAACACGCTACTAACTGTCCCCATCTGCCTGTACATGATTTTTGTTAGTTTCGCTTTTAGTCTCATCTTCACGCCTAACAGGGCGCCCTTTGGAATGAATTTCAGATTTTTCGCTCCCCTTCCCCAATAATTTCTGTGGCTCACAATGCAACTGAAGGACTGTCTTCGTCGAAACATTAGCAGCAATACTCACTACTGAACAAGAAAGCAACAGGAATGATAAAATCTAGCAGTGACGCACACTGAATAGGCTGGTACGATCATGTGTTTTTACGGTCAGCTAATCTGGTTGCCTCTTGCACATCGACAGAGAACATCCTTCTAAAATCTGAGCTTAGTCTTTCTAGTCCCTGAGTTAGTTATTTCCTGTTAAAAAGAACCATACACTCGTACGTGATTTTTTAAGAGCAGGATCTGGACGCACTAAGAGCCGAATCTTTGGAGAATATGCAGACATGGAATGTATTCTTAAAATTTCAGCTATCTAGCTTTTCTGGTTCCCGAGTTAGCAGCTTCCCGCCAAAACTTTTACATGTCCATAAGTGAGACAGCGTGCGTGAAAGTTGTTATCATGTTTCTGGGATCGCATTTAGTCAAGGAATCCACTGGCAAGATTTCAACATCTAAGCTTGCTTGGCTGTCGGGTTGAAACACACATAAAGACGAAAACGCATACAGACAGGGTCGTCACAATATGCGCTTAACTGTTGCAGCGTTTTAACGCGTTTCAACTGCAAAGAACCATAATCTGCACCCAACCGCATTCTCATGTCAATAGTTCGACCAAGCCTATAACCTGGGCCATGTTGACAGTAATTCCTGCTGCCCGTATAGTCAGAGGATAGCATAACTGCGCAAGCTTAAAAAAGCCCTAAGAAAAAATATTGCAAATCCTCAAACGCCTGAACACTGTACTTTGGATGGGTCGCCTCAGTTCAGCAGCTTGAAAAAAATACCCTCACGGTGCATATCTGTATTCACAATCTGTTTCACTGGATTCGGCATTCTCTCTTCGGTATCACGTCCACATTTTCTATAAGCCCGCCGTTTTTCATTAATCGTACTTCGATGGAGACTCTCACAGTCGGCGCCCGATCTGCGCTCGACGTCTTCCTCAAGCAATTTGCGCCGTAATTCGATGAACTGAAACTCACAGTATGAAAAAAAAAAAGATAAAACACAATTCAAAAAAAAAAAGATATAACACAATATTTCAAAACTCTGATTAAATGTTCAGTGCCGTCAATAATCTTCCAAATTTCCACGCTGTATTAATGAGACCTTTGCGTTCCAGAACAATACGGGACCTTTGTAGCAGATTTTCGAGCACAAGTTTTCTTTTTAGATTAGCCATTCTGACTATAAAAAGACAGGTGACTATCTTGATATGCCACCGGAATCAGTTTTTCTATACTTTTTAACAGTTCTGAACGAAAGGGTGATTATATTATTTTCCGTGTACTTAGCAAAAAGATGTGTGAAAATCAAAATTGATAAATATACCCAGAACAAGATCGAGGGAATATCAGTGTTTTTCATCTTGATGATTTGCGCCGAGCATAGCTATGCTGTACCAGGCACACTGTTTCTGAGTTGCATACATCCAGCTAGCAATTATCGCCTGTCCAGTTGTGGCCGGTGCCTTTTTTAAGGAAGTTCAAGTGATTGCTTATTTTTAAAATCACCAGCCACTGATATCAGGCTATAAGCAGAACTAGCAAATTTTACTTTAAATTCTAAATTTTACGTTACAGTCGAATTTCACTTTCTCCTGTGGCTGCCCATGCATCTTGCAACCCGTTCATCTGACGGAGAATCTGATTCCTTTTAAGATAATGCAGTGAATTCAAACATCCATCGCTTTGCTGTTCCCTCTTGTCCCAACTAAAATTTGTTCCTCCGCCCTCGCCAGCTACAGTGATTTGTATTTGGAACGTCACCACCTTCAACATGGTGTCGTTGGTGGAATGACCACTGAGGATAACGGCTGTGCTGTGAGCAACCCTCCACAGTGCAATCGCCGTCAAACGACTGTGACGCGTATTTGTTCTCTGACCAAAAGTCAAACTTATCCAAGTCAACATTCTCCGATCGCAGGCACTTCGCATTTTCCCGGTTTCCAGTGCTTTGCTTGCCAACCTAATTTCTTCGCGTGTTAATTTTCTGCAGCATTGCAGCTTACAGCCGCACAGCTGGACCACCTGAGTAACGTGCTAACTGCGGATTCCCAGCCTGGCTGCCCGGGCGGTCTTGCTACTTATCAACTGTTATTTTTATGAACAGCACTCCTTCGCACAAAAGCCTGGGCAAATTTAACCTAACAGGCCCCTTGCTTATTAAAAATCGGGTTCTGCGCAAATTCGAGACAAATAGAAAATGAATGAAGTGCCACTGATATCATAAAGAATCCGTAAGCAGTGGAGAGTGATAAAAAACGAGAGCTGCTCCACCTTTATTTTCTCCTCAAAATCGCACACAATCTCCTTCTTTCTTTTGAGGTACTCCGGCGATTCCTGGATCAAAATTTCCGTCCGTCATCGTTCAATCTGGAAAAAATGCGACCTAAAAGGCAAATGAATAAACTACAAGAAAATACAACTTTCGACTGACCAAAAACGACTAGATGTTTTGAGGACGAAGCTAATATGTGCATAAAGTATTCACAGAAACGTGCGGATTGGATTTTAAACGTGATGGAAATGGCCTCTTCACGGTGACAGGGCACAGAAGCGTCGGAGCAGACTGTGTGATACCTCGCGCATCTTTCTCGTATAAGTGAAGAAATGAAGCAAGGGGTGGAAGCACCGGCTGAAGCACGTCCTGTCCGCCCCGTTAATGAAGCGAAGAAAGTCGCTTAAAAGAGTGGTGTAAAGCAGCAATATGAATTCAGATATTCAGAGACTGAAAACGCCGCGTCACGGATAGGTACTCAGTAAGAACGTCCAGTGATATCCAAATGCACAATGAATAGTGTTGAACTACTCCAGTGAGCATTTATCAGGAGAAAAAAAAAAAATAAGTGGCAACGCGTACCAGACTAGCCGGTGCGATCATGCGTTTTGTGCAATTCAGCCCATCGAACGATT